AATTAACGTTTTAAAGTCCAAAAAGAGAATTCACGTGTTTCATAAAAACACCCGATAATTCAGCCCTTTGAATCTTTGCTCAATATACAGATCCCAAAGTCCAAACCAGTTTTTTTAATTAAGTAAGTGTTGAAAATATGAAAAGCACCTAGAAGATACACTTATCTGTTGCTGAAAAAACCCTCTCTTCATCTGAAAGAGTAATAGACCATTTCAAATGTGTTTTAGAAATGGGGAGGTCGGCTTTAGTGTCCTAAATTTCGGCTACACCACAGCCTTGAACAAGGTGGAGAAGGCCCGTCTCCCAGCCACTCAGTGCAAGTCGATCACAAGGATGTCTGCTCCGGGGTCTCCTCGCAAGAAACGGCTATCCGGAGAGCATCTGGGTTGATTTCATGGATACTCCTGTACATCCGGAGAATTCTGCAGGCTACGGGGATCCTGCCCTAAGCCCCACAGCGTTGAATCCCAACCAGAGGAATCAGTGCCATGATCCACCACCAGAAATCCTAGATTATATTCTTGTCAACAACAAACAATCATTTAGACATGACCTCATGGCATTTATGTTGTTGGAGATGCAGGGAAATTAACACTTTATTTACATATATTGTACCATTTTGGTAAAGAGCAGTTACATGTATTAATGTTGACATTTAACATTTTCAGATGTACATTCTTTCTCTATGACATAGGAGTTGAGTTACCCCTCCTTCCCTCCCTCCCTCCCTCCCTCTCATACACATACACACACACACACGCAGACATACACATACACAGAGCCTCCCATTTCTTCTACATTTTGTGGCTTTTCTGCCCTAAACGAACAGAGAGGGCTGGATTCACAAAACAGAAAACACATTCGTGTCCACTGTTTGCCTTCCCAGAACAACCTTGCTAACTGTCATGAGCACAAAAGGCTGGACAGGCTGGACTTCGGTCTGACCCAACCAGATTCTCTTATGGCCCTTTCAGAGACCACGCCTTGGGCTTTTGCTTCCATCCAAGACCCACATATAGAAAAAAACCCATGAGATCAAACCTTTACAAATTCCAAACCATTTGAACATCTTATAGACACACCAAGGACCTAGCAAACCAGTGATGGCTCTCTCTGAACCTGGGTCTCCCTAGTCTTAGCCCAACATTTATACCACTGCACTCTGCTGTTCTTCATGAGATGTCTCTTTAGCAAATGCAATCATCCTTGTCTAGTAACCCTCTGTTGGAAGAAAAAGTTATCTTACCAGGTCCGTTTCTGAGCTGGGAGTAAAGACACTGACGAATTGCATGAAGTTAGGAGATTTATTCTCCCCCAAAGAGCAGAAGCAATGACAGCAAGCAGTTAGGTGGGCGGCCGCGCTGGACCCCTGCCATACAGCGTATTATATACCTTTCGTTAC